AGTGAAAATGTCCAAAAAAAAAAAAAAAAAAAAAAAAAAAAAGAAAAACTTTTTACCAAAAAAAAATAAATAAATAAATAAAATAAAATCAGACTTAAATTTTTCTTTAACTTTTTTTGGCATAATTTAAGATTTACAAAAAATTGCAAGAATACAACAAATTTTCTCATATTCTGTAAATATTAACATTTAATTCATTTGCCTTGTCCTCTCTATATATAACATACATACATAATTTTTTCTAAACCATTTGATACTAAGTTGTAGGTGGTTCTCTTTTGCTTTTGAGTACTTTAATGTGCATTTTCTAAATGTACATAACTACAGGATAGTTAGCAAATCGGGCAATAAACTTTAATTCCCTACTCTTCTATATAGCTGTTATTCACATTTTATAAATTGTCTCAATATTTTTTGTTGTTAATATATTTTTATTGATTTCAGAGAGGGAGAGAGAGAAACATCAATGATGAGACAGAATCATTGATCGGCTGCCTCCTGCACGCCCCACACTAAGGATCGAGCCCACAACCTGGGCATATGCCCTGACCGGGAATCGAACCCTGACTTGTTCATAGGTCAACACTCAGCCACTGGCTGGGCTCAATAATATTCTTCATACAAAAACAAAAATGCATTCTTTGATCATGTGTTGCATTCCGTTGTTATGTCTCTTTAGTCTCCTATAATCTGGAAAAGTTCCTCATTCTTTATTTGTGCTTCATGAGACTGGCGTATATTTAACCCTTTGTATGTCATAAGTGTCTATGTGGGAATGGTTTCAGTTTTGGACGTGTGGCAGTTAACTGGTTATTGACTGTTCCTCAGTTTGGGTTTATCTGATGTTTCCTCCTGATTAGAGTCAGGGTTTGTACTTCTGTTAAGAACACAGAAGTGATGTTTTGTTCTTTTAAGTGCACGTTATCAGGAGGCATGTGTTAGTAATATGTCCCTATTACTGGTGCTATTACTTTGATCACATGGTTAAGGCTTCTCCATTCTAAAGTTACTATTTCCCCTTTGTAATAAATAAGTTTATTGTTGGGAGATACTTTGAGATAATGTCAGTATGCTTTTATTCCTCAAACTTTTTCATCTAGGTTTAGCTCCATTTGATGAGTCTCATCTGAGTCAATTATGCAGATGATGATTGCCAAATGATGTTTTTGTAATTCCATCATTCTTTCTACATTTACTTGTTGGCTTTTTAATGAGGAACTTTTCCTGTCTTTCCAGTTTGTTTGTTTATTTAGATTAGTTTGTATATGTGGATTCTTATTTTACTCAATGGCTTACAATCTTTTTTTGTTAATAGTGTATCTTTATTAAAAAAATATATATTTTATTTTTTTTTACAGAGAGGGATAGGGAGCTAGAAACATCGATGAGAGAGAAACATCGATCAGCTGCCTCCTGCACACCCCCACTGGTACATGCCCCTGGCTGGAATCGAACCTGGGACCCCTCAGTCCGCAGGCCGACGCTCTATCCACTATCCACTAGCCAAACCGGTTAGGGCTAATAGTGTATCTTGATGTTTACGCTATCCCAGATTTGGCCAGTGGGAGCTCCTGTAAGCTATCTTCTGTCTGATTTAAATCTTAACGCTTTTGTTTTCTCTCGTTTCAATAGCAAATCATTTAAGCATTATAGCAAAAGATGGCATTTGGACATTACATTCAGTATATTAAATATTTTTCAAGTAAAAGTTGCAAACTCTACCTTTGGAATTCTGGCTTTCAAGTTTCCATAAAATAGGTTTAGGTTTGTATATGATGGTGTATTATTTGAAGTGCTGATTTTTTTAGAAAGAAAAGTTTTTGTGTTCTATGTACAGCTTTCAAAAGATTTGGGAAGAAACTTACTTTTTAGTTTGTTTGCATTTAATCTCACGTAACTTAAATTTACCCTTACCCCTACAAGTTTTAGAGGAAGCCGTGAAAGCATACTTTGTTTGCAAGCATTTAGATTAAGCATGTCAAACTCAAAGGCTAACTAACATGGGCCAAATAAACAAGATTTAAGTTTATGTGGGCCGCAAAAAAACAAAAGCTTCAATTTTCATAGAAACATAGGTTTATTTCGATAGAGACATGCTGAATACAAAGAGCTGAAATAAATGAGTAATCATTAACATAAAATGATAGGACATTTTAATAAAAATTAATAATTTTTCTTGAACATTAACTTACCAGACACTGAATAACTACACAAATTAATAAGCGTAACGCAAATCTATTTATTTGGTTCTCCAAAAGCAAAATATTTCCTGTTGCACACACCAAACAAGTCAGTCCAAGACTAATGACGTGGCAATTGGCTGCTAAAATATTCACTGCGAGTATTAGTAGAGAGAGATGGTGCGCCTGCGCGTAAGGCGTGTAAGGGAAATGAATGCAACATGATTATAGTAATCAGTCATTATTGAATGTTGTAGTTCATTATTAATAATGTATAACAGGATATTATAAAAAGTAAGTTATGAAATTTTTATTAAAGCGTTTCTTCCGTAAAAATATTCATTGTGGGCTGCATGCGGCCCACGGGCCGTGAGTTTGACATGTTTGATTTAAATAATGTTTGATATATATTACTTTTAAAGATATTATTGAAAAGATCCTTGTGTAAGGATTCAATAATCATTTTAGATTAATTAGAAAGTTATAATCACATTGTCTTCTGCTAGATTTTTTAAATAGCAAAAATCATTTTGATTGGATGAGTTGTTTTATAATAACCAGTTTGGCTCAGATTCAGTAAATAAACAATGTTTGTTTTAAGTTGCAGTTTTACAAATTGCATTTTGGCCTATTTTTCAGCTGAAAAATATAAGGACTCGGTATCTGATAATACAAAAAATGCTGACAATGCAGCTAAAAATGCGGAGCCATTGATCAATTTGGATGGTAAGTACAGTAGACCCTCTTTATTCGCACTTTCACTTTCCATGCTTTCAGATACCTGTGGTCAACTGCTTTCTGAAAATAATACATGAAAAATTTCAGAAATAAACAATTCACTTTAAATTGCACACCGTTCTGAGTAATATGGTGAAGTCTTGCACTGTTTTGCCTAGCTTAGAAATCAAGCCTTTGCTCAGCATATCCACACTGTAATCACTTAGTTTCCGTTGGGTTATCAGATCAATTGTCATGGTATCCCAGTGTTTGTGTTCAGGAAAACTTTATGCTACTTAATGGCCCCAAAACATGAGACATGATGTTGGCAATTTGGATATGCCAAAGAGAAGCTGTAAAAAGCTTCTTAAAAAAAAACAACACAACAAAATATATATAAAAAACATGGTATATAAAGGGTTAGGTACTGTCCCAGTTGTAGGCATCCAGTGTGGGTCTTGAAATGGATCTCCTTTGGATAAGGGGAGATGACTATGTAAATGCATAATAATGATCAACATTTTTGGTTTCCTAAATGATTTTTATTTTCTAAAATGAAGTCTGTGTTTACTTGGTTTTAGTAAATACTTCATGCAGGCAGCATTTGTGAGGATATTTTGTTCTCTATGGTTTTTTTTATTGTCAGTTACAATGTGCTGTCTCCTTCCTCTTATAATTGAATATCTGAATATTGAAATGCTTTTCTTTGATCTTCTCATAGTAGTGTGGAGATTTTTATTTGTATTTAATCATGGTGATGATTGTTTGCTTCCTGGTAACATAACATTTTTTCTAATCTAATGTGACACTATGAGAAAGTGGTAAAATTTTTCATTATTTAAATCCAAACGTCTTTTAGTAATTCTGCTTTAGAAAGTATAGAGTCTAATTACTTACATTATAATAATACGTTAAATAATTCTTTCACTGATTCATTGTGACCTATAATTTGAGTTATTCTTGTGAATTAATAAGCTGCTTGGACACTCGAGAGCTGCTGCTTAGAGAAAAGGTTTTGGGAAAACTGTCCATTGAAGGGGTCTATGTATTAAAATGAATAGCTTTGGGAAGAAATGTTAATTAAAAGTGCTGCATAAATGGGCCTTGCAGAAAAAGGTATGAGTTAATTTAGTTATTTATTGGATTGTTCAGTTTGGCTGATTAGTAAGAAATCCATTAGTCTTATCATTTTGCCTAGTTGTTGATGCCCCTGCACTGCTCCAGTCAGAAGTTTTAAAAATTGAGATTTGTTGTTAATGGAAAATTCACAATGTTTCTTGTAAATTTATGTTTACATATCTGTCTAATTATATGTTTGCAGAGCTCTAAGTTTCCATTTAAATTTTTTCTAGTTAATAATCCTGATTTTAAGGCTGGTGTAATGGCTTTGGCTAACCTTCTTCAGATTCAGCGTCATGATGATTACCTGGTAATGCTTAAGGTCAGCTTCATATTCTTGATTCTTGACAGATATTGTGTGTGTGTGTGTGTGTGTGTGTGTGTGTGTGTGTGTGTATCTTATCTTAGAGGCCTGGTGCACGAAAATTCGTGCACTGGGGGTTGGGGAATCCCTCAGCCCGGCCTGCCCCCTCTCACAGTTCAGGAGCCCTCAGGGTATGTCCTACTGATGGCTTAGGCCCGCTCCCTGTTGTGGGGAGTGGGCCTAAGCCACAGTCTGGCCTCCCTCTGCGGGAGGTGACCGGGCTGATCAGGGGAAGGCGACGCCCCCATCACTTGGCTGCTGCTGCCACTGCCGCAGCTGCGAGGCCTGAGCCCCAGGCCTCGCATCTGCTGTGGCTTTGTCCAGATGGACATCTGGAAGACGTCTGCTCTAATTAGCATATTACCCTTTTATTAGTATAGATATTTAAACTCAATTTTTTAAAAATCAACTTTTTTATATTTAAATTTATGGTTGATGACTAAAATGTGGAGGAATGTGGAACACAAAGCAGATTTCATCTGTTTTAGATGATCCAATAACAGCTAATATCAAAGAGTGTTTACTGTGTGCCTGCCATTTTGTTTACATCCTTTTGCAAAGATGATTTCATCCAATCCTCCCCAACATCCTAGAAGTAGATGCTAATGTCTTTCTTTTTAATATGTATATGAAGAAGTAGACTTAAAGAGAATAAATGTCCAAGATGACACAAAAAATGATAGAGCCAGGATTTTAATGTAGGCATTCTGACCTTGTCGTTTCTATATTTCCTAAATCGCCCTATTCATTAAGATAGTGGAATATGCCAAATTAGTAATGGTGAATTTGGCCAAAAGTACATATTCCAAAATGTCTTTGAGGAAGGAAAGAATGTTTCTGTCTTCCAAGTCACCCTTCCTAGATAGGCCCTCAGTTCATACCTCTACTTCAGGGATTCCAGTAGTCTGAAAAAGGTCTCTTATTTCTGACAGGAAAAATATACTCATATTTCAGAAAATTTATGCCAAGTAATTGTGACAGTATAGTGGGGATCTCCTGGAGAGGGGAGTGGTACTTACAATACCAGACTTGGACATTATTTTAGTTTGATTAAAGTTTTAGTTTCTCATAAAAATCTACACCTTGCACATGTAAATTACTTTTAAATTGCTTTGCAGTGAATTAAATTTCACTCTACCCATAAGAAGGATTAAGCCTTACTCTATTTTCTTTATTCTATTATTAGATTAATTTATTCTACTATTTAGAATTGTATGTAATAAATGGCAGTTGTAACAAGGGAAAGACTATTCTGTTCCTAGATTATTATTCTGTATGCTGACTCTGAATGTCAACTTGGATTTTCTCAACTCAGATTGGATGTCAAGAGACAAAAAGTTGTATTTAGTGAAATTTAGCCCTTTCAAAGGCTTTTTCCTTACCTAGGCAATTATGTAAATTATTTGGAACAGTTCTACAGTATACATATCAGCTTTAATCATAAACTGGGAGGAGAAAGACAATCTAGCATTTTGGAGGTTCTCTTTGTTATACTTTAAACACCCAATGGGAAAAAGTAAAAGTTAGCTATAATCATAAGTTTAATAAAATTCTAATCCTAGTTGCATGATTGTCCTTTGAGTTATTTTAAGAATCATTCAAACAATGCATAACAACATGGAAAACATCTTCATAGATTTGCCAACTGTGAGAATCAATATATTAACTGTTCGACCACCACACTGTTTACATTTGCAATCACTGTTAAAGATTGGTTTAAGTAATTCTTCTCAAATGTAGCATTTAATTTGTTTTTATTATTTAAAAAAATTTCCAGTTTTCACTTACTTTTGAATTGTAATTGTCATCCATTAGTTAAAATTCCATTTAAAATCTTATTTTTTTAGTTTATGCAAGTGCATGTATGCACTTGAGACTGCTGGAATAAAATTCCTTGGTGATGAAAAAACATGTTCTATGAAAGACCTGAAAACATTTTACTATAATTAAGAGAAAAAAGCAAGGACAGTGTATGTGATGTGCTACCCTTCGTGTCAGAGATTGCATGTGTGTGCACATGTTTGCCTGAGTATGCTTGTACTTTTAATAAGAATCCAAGGATCTGGTAACAATGATTGTCTTCTGGAGGGATGGCTAAGGCTTGGACAAGGAAGGAGACCTACTTTTTACCATGTGCCGTTATTTATTTATTTATTTATTTATTTATTTATTTATTTACTTACTTACTGCACACATGAGTTACCTATTCAAAAAATGTTTTAAATTGTTTTGGGTATCATTTCACATTTTAAATATTAAATGTGAGAACTTTTATTACAATATGTTTGTTTTTTTAATGGGGAGTTTGTTAATGAACTAGGTCATTCTAACTTGATCAAACTGGGCATCCTTCTTATCTAGACTCAGAGAAGAAAAGATGACAAACAGCCAGTGAAAACTAAAAACAGTATTTTTGGGTTTCTTAGGCAATTCGCATTTTGGTCCAGGAACGCCTGACACAGGATGCAGTTGCTAAAGCAAATCAAGCAAAAGAGGTATGTATTTTTTTAAGTAAAATCTAAAGTAATTATTAATGAAAGTTTCTTCTGGTGTTGTCATGGGTTTAAACTCTGCATGTTACTGCTTAAGGTATCCATTTTGTGTTAGAACTGCCCAGAGAAAGGATAGCTTACTTCAAGGGGATTGAATGTGGTTTCTAAGCAAATTGTGTCTAACCATTTTGAGTGAAAAATGAACTCATGTTTATCTCCCTTCACACCTTCGAGAAGCTGCCAATGGCACATCCAGTCTACCAGTGTAAACCACTGCATCTACCTAGTTGAAGTTTATTTAAAGGAATGTGCACTTGTGAAATATACTGGGTTATTTTGACTAATTGCTGGGGAACAGGACACAACCTCCTAATATTTTTCTTTTTGACCTAAATCCTACGTTTGTTCTTTTGTTTCTTCAGAGAAATCTCATTTTACCTTTTCTATTTGCTAGCATAAAACCTAAGTAACTTGCATAAGGTCACCTAGTGGATACGTGGTTGAGACAAGGATTCGTGTGTGGTGGTTTACATGAGGTAGTTGATGATCTAGGTGAATTGGGGATAGAGAGGCTACTAGAGTGTGAGGTTCAGGGTATAGGTGACTAAAACTCATCTTAGTAGAATGAGAAAACTACAGCATAACTATCTAATAATTCTGAGAAGTTTTGAGATAAATTGTACCATAAATCTAAATGTCCCAAAAGTCTCATTGACTACGGGGCAATACAGAGAATGTCCTCACGGGTTAGCAGCAGCTGCCTGATAATGCCCCCTTCCTGCTGTACAGATGTTGCAGCGACAGCCTTTGGTACAACCACCATCCTGAACCCTGGTCCTTTTTTTTTTTTTTGCCTCCCTCAGTTCCCCAATGTCATTTGTCCTCTATTAAAAGGTTATTGATGCCAGGTAAGTGTACTCCCTCTAAAAGACAGTTTCTTTTAAAGGTTCTTACTGGTTTATTAATTATGTGTGAATCCAGACACTGGAAATTGGGTTAAAGGCCAGCCTATTTCTCCCACACTATAAACAGAGAGTAAATTCATTCAGTAAAGCTATGGTTTGGAAGGCAGTGCAAATAAGGACAGAGCCAAATCACCGCTGCTCTTTACAAAGTAAAATTTAGTTTTATTCTCAGTGCTCCAAATAAATCTTAGTTTTAATGTCATCTCAAAAGATTCCATGCTATAAATAATAATACAGTGGAGAAGTTTTACAGTTGTGTTCTTGTTTGTAACTGTTTATAACTAGCATGTGGTCATCTTCAGCCACAGAGGTATTTTTTGGGTTTGGGGCAGACAAAGGGGAAAGAGAGCCTCTGGTACAGCCTAGCACAGTACAATTCTACTCTTTAGTTTTGCTCACTGAGTTTCCATACCAGTTTGTTTCTAGTGTGTTTATTAGCTATTTTGAAGCAGATCGAACCTAGGTAGATTTTCATTAATAGATTAGGCAAGAATTGAGTAGTGACAACTTAGCATTGAAGTATCGCTATGGTTTAGATTCTATTCAAAGTAACTTCAAAATGAACTGTTGAAAGTTAAATTATATATATTACATATAGATAATCTTTTAAAATTTCTGGCTGAAAAACTATGTTTTAGGTTTGTGCAATTTGCAGACAAATTAATGTGCTCGGGAAAGTAATATTAAAAGTAGTCCTATTCCATTTGCCCTGTACACTGCTGCTTACTGTAGGTAAAACAGAATAATAGCAGCCCTGCAGTAGTGACAGGGGCACTACAGCAAAAAGGAGCTATTTTATATGCCTGGTCTTAAAGGATTGGATGGGTTATGGAATTAACCTCCCACTTTATTTGAAGGCCATTCTTTCCTCACCGGTTATAGTAGGGAAAAACAAACATCAAAATGCAAATTTAAGAGAACTCTCATTCCCCTTGCTACTGTGACTAAAAGGGTTAAAATAATAGCTAGCTGCTCTTTAGTTTTAGATAAGAAAAGAGGTGATACTTAACTATCGCCTCATTTTGTCCATTTTTTTTTTAAAGGGGTTGCCTGTTGCTTTAGACAAGCATATTCTTGGTTTTGACACAGGAGGTAAGTGATTTTGTTTTGATGATTAATTCAAAATATTTTAGAAACTTGGTGAACATTTTGGGGGAAATGAGTGGTCTGAAATATAAAAGTTATTAATTTTGCCATGTTTCTTATAAATAGATGCAGTTCTTAATGAAGCTGCTCAAATTCTGCGATTGCTGCATATAGAAGAGCTCAGAGAGCTACAGACAAAAATTAATGAAGCCATAGTAGCTGTTCAGGCAATTATTGCTGATCCAAAGACAGACCACAGACTGGGGAAAGTTGGAAGATGAACCTGTTAGGATTTCAGCCTCTCACCTATTTAGTACAGTTGGGAACCATGCACACCGTGGTATGTGTTTCAAAATCAAACATCACATTTTCAAGGGAAGAGTCCCAGAAAATTGACTATGTTTTAGAGATTTACCATCATTGCTTTTTCTTTAATAAAGTTTGGGAAAGCGGATTTTTTTTTGGACTATGTGTTATGTTTATGTATAATTAATCTGTTTCTTCCTTTGTAATTAAGGTACATACCAACACCCAGCTTTGTTATAGAAACAATACACATCCTCAAAAAGTCATAAGAAAACTTAAAATATTTTATTGGAGTAATCTAGAAAATTTGAGGACTGATACATCTTTGGTATTTATAAATGTAGTAATTTCTGTGGGTTATTCTATAGAGGGACTTACAGGAAATACAAACTGAAATGTTCTAGCACCTTTTAATATAAATAGAAATGAAGTAATGCAGAGGTAAAAAATATTTTAAGTCTTAGAACTTTTGTTGGGAAACTATAAATAAGTTGGTTCTTTCCCATCAGTTCTGCATAGCCTTCTCTATGTCAAATTTATGATCTTTAGGGTTTTATTTTTATACTGGTCATTTGTGCTTTAATTTCTTGGCCAAAAAGAACTCATATAGGGTCTTGACATATTTCTAATTGGTTCTTAGTTGAACGAATTTGACCTTTTTAAATATGACATAAATGTTTATAAAAAGTTGCTTTAATAAGCAACAATTAAAATTCTATTACCTCTTTTAAACTTGCAATAATTTTTGTTTTTAAAAATACAGTAGTAAAGATTGAGGTATAAACTTTTCACAAAATATACTTAGTCTTTTTGCACTGAAAATGTCCATTTTGTATGTCCCAGAAGTTTTAATGGCCAATTCCTTTTTCACTTTCTTCACCTTTGTTTGCAGTAAATGTTCTTTAGGGTCCAGAATCTGATTGTAAACTCAAGTCCTTTAGGATGCTATATTTATTTTCTTCCTGTAAGGGAAAGTGTGGGAGAGGACAGTGCGTGAGTATTTTTTATAACTGAGTTGCAACGTAAGTCTTTTTAAAGGAGAAATATCCTAATAGGCTGACCTGTTTTGTGTATAGTTTAGTTAGGTAGACTTAAGGTAGTAAAAACTGGTCACCCCGTGGGTTGGCCATTAACTTTTCCAGCTCAATGTGGCTCTCACTGGTGGCAGTGTCAGAGGCAGCAGCCAGAATCAGTTACCAGATCTGTCCTCCCCTCCCCTGCTAATCCAAAGGAGCAGCCTGAGCATGTTGTTTACCTGCTGGGCAGTAGGGGTAGACTGCAGTTATCCCGTAGAGATGAGATCGCTGTTCTGGGAGATACTCGTCAGTAAACTGGCCACTGTCTCTATTGACTGATATAATACCGTCCCTGGGAACAGAAAGGAAACATGAAGTCGTAAGTTTCAAAAGAGAAAAATCTCTACAGCCTTTTAGAATACATATTTTAAATTAATATAACAAAATGAGTTTTGACTCATTTAGATTCAGAAGGTTTGTAGCAGTGGTTCTCAAAGTGGTCCTCAGACCAGCATCATCTGGGAACTTGGTAGAAATGCGAATTCTTGGGCCCTCCTTCAGACTTAATCAAATTCTGGGATATAGGACCCAGTAATATGTTTTAATTAGAGGGCCTGGTGCACAAAATTTGTGCACTCAGCCCGGCCTGCGCCCTCTCGCAGTCTAGGAGCCCTCGGGGGATGTCCGACTGACAGCTTAGGTCCGCTGCGCTGGCCAGCCGTGAGCCTGGCTTCTGTCTGAGTGGCGCTCCTCCTGTGGGAGTGCACTGACCACCAGGGGGCAGCTCCTGCGTTGAGTGTCTGTCCCCTGGTGGTCAGTGTGCGTCATAGAGATCAGTCATTCTGCCGTTCGGTCAATATGCATACTAGCCTTTTATTATATAGGATAAGCCCTCAGAATGACTCTGATCCATGCTCAAGTTTGAGGACCACTAACTGGGTGTTGGAATCACGAAGATCTGTTAAAATACTGATGCCTGGGCCCCATGCAAGATCAATTAAATCAAAATTACAGGGTTTAGTATGGAAGAGCTCAGATACTACAGGAGTGGGCAAAGTAGGTCTGTGACATTCTTTTGAATTAAAACTATAATAATAACTCATGTCTTTCCACACAAACAACTGTAAACCCACTTTTACCAACCTTGTATATATTTTTTTAATGTTCCCCAATTCCTCCTTGGAGAACTGGTAGACAACTAGTAAGTCCACAGTGTCATTTTATATCACATAACTAATATACTTCATGGTGCCACTTAAGCCAGTTATAACTCTGAAGATCATATTTAGATTAAAGCGCTTCCTTTTTGGATAGTTATTACTTAATAGCTCTGCCACTTTTAAGCCATATGTGAGCATTACCGTTAAATTTCTGGGTAACGTTTAAAAGATGCTATCTACTAATAAAGATAATGAAATGAAAACGTCAGTAGAGGGCTTAATTACTGAAGTCACTAGCTGACATTAGGTGAAACAAGCGATGTATCCCCCAGAACAGTTTGCATTTTCAGGCTCATCCAGAATGTGTCAGGCTCACCTCCTCCAGTCCGTGTGGTAGAAGTGATCTGCATAGCTAACAATGCTGAAGGGGTAGTTGAGGTTGTTTTGAATGACATGTCGTCCAGTTCCATCAGGCAGTGTACACTCCAGTTTTTTGGTTCCTTTGAAAACGAAGAGGAAAAAAGATACTTTCATGCCATGGGGAAGAGGAGAGGGAACCTTGCCAAAAATAATAGTGGCTGATAGATTCCATCTTAAAGAAAGGTAGAAGAAGAAATAGCTATTTTATTCCCATTGCAGTGATAAAAATTAAAAACTAAAATTTTCTGTTCTATTACCAGTCTTTAAATTGTTTAATAACATTGCAGTTTTTAATAGAGTTTAAACTCTTAATCCTTTTTTGGGAAGAAAGGATTGCTTTTACAGAAATTTAGCCAAGTTTCTCCCAAAGTAGGGCATTAGAGAGAAGCTTTTTTATAATTAATTTCAAGTGTAAACATAACATTTGGATAAATATTTGTACTTTGTAAGTAATGTGTAATAGCCAAGATTGCCTTTTAACTAGTTTCTAGGTAGAAATAAAAAGTAACTAAAGGGGCAACATGACTTCTATTTTTCAATTTAAAGGAAGCCAATTGTGAAAATTTTGCCATAGCTAAACAAGTTAAAAATTTCCAAGTTTCACATTTCTTACAGGACCTGGATTTAAATTGCAAATACTTTTAAAAATGTTAACTGTTGTTTGGACAACTGGTTTTATAATAGTGACCTATGTGCATTATAGTCCCCTTTTTTAGATGATAAATTCTTTAGGAACGGCCGTTTTCATGTTCTGTGGTATATAGACATACTGCTTCTTTTCAGTAGTGCTCATGATGAAATCACACGACAGAGAATGTTAGCCTGGCTATCGGCAATCTGAACTTGTTACTGAAGTGAAGCTGCCATACCGCTTTTCAAGAATGTCCTCAGCATAATGGCATACTGACCGCTAGACAGATACTTAGAAATTTATAACACGGGCCAAAGGAAAACCACCTATAACCTTTTGTTCATTTATCTAAATCGGTCAATTCTAACAGTGGGTAATATTTCTTTTTAACTTTGAAAGCATGCCAAGTATTCATGTGGGGAAATGGCACACAATACAAAAATGAGGGACATAGTACTACCCCTGAAACTTAAGTGCTGAATTCATATTTACACACCCTAAAACCCTAGGAAGTTCATTGTAAGCATCATTACAAAATGTCTTTTGAAAGTTTACATACCAAAGGAATAGATTCTATGTGCTGTACTGTTACAAATTTAAGCCAAAAGATGGGATTTTGTTTTGTTATAAAATCTGATCAAGGGCTTGCACCACTGTAATGAAGCATTCTGTATCTGCATCCCATCAGTAGTATTACCTGCATCTGCCCAGCAGAGCAGTTTGGACACGGGGTCAAAGGTTAAACCATTGGGTAGTCCAAGGTCATTATTCACCAGAATTCTTCTGTTTTCTCCATATAAAGATGACATTTCAATTTTAGGAGCATCTCGATTCCAGTCTGTCCAGTACAAGTTGCTGTGGATAAATTAAATGGAGTAGAAAAAGAAGCACCCTGAGTGTGTACAAGTCAAACTTCAGAACCTTCTTTGAGGCTTTTCACTAAGTATTTCTTAGTCAAAAACAATGTTTCCTTCACTTATTGAGGATTTTCTCTGGAACTTCATTTGGTAGAAGCCCCATTAAATATGGCAAGAGCTTCTCAAGATACAGCAATCCTCCCTGGTTCTAACAAGTACTGAAACATTGACCAAGTTATATGTCCCAGTGATGACCTTAGCAGTTATGGACAGGGAACATTTTCTTCTTCATTTTGCTACAATGAAAGAGGTCTGAGAAATAAAATGCCAGGTGTGAGTTTTGGTTACCATTTAATGGGCATAAACCCTACTGTGGTTTTAACACTGACTTCCTACTGTGTTGCTGAAGGAGACCCACTTCATTCTAGTTTAAGTATTGACCTCAGACAGGCCCTACCTTATCATCTGATAAAAAGAACAGTTCCTGACACCTAGTAGCTCCTCAATAAATACTGTTAACACATTTGGGCTTTTCTTTCTGCTTTTGTTCTGACTCCCCACCGCATTTAAATCCAAGGACTTCAAATCAGGATCTACAGGTAATGGAGAATTAGGAAGGCCCAGCTGACCCTCGGATAGGATCCACAGTGATGGCTCGGGGATTCACCAGGTCCGTGTGGAAGAGAGCCTTGCGCTCAGAGCCGTCCAGCGTGGCCCTCTCTATCCTATCCAGGCCACTGTCTGTCCAGTACATCGTTCTGTGAAAGTGGTCAATGGCAAGGCCTTCAGGGCTTATCAGATCTGGAAATAAAAAAAAAGGCAGGACTGGAGCAGGTGAACCTGAAACAGATTTATGTTTGAACAACAACAACAAAGTCCTGAGAGTCCCTTAAGTCGGAAGAACTAGGTTACACAAACTAATTGTTAAAATTCTGTGGCACACCCAAAATATGATTTTTGCCGAAATGACAAAAAAAAAAGGTATCATTTTGATTAATTCACACCAGATGGCTGCTGTTGTGTTGGCTGATATCATTTTTTCATTTGACAATCTAAGGGAAGAG